CTTATTTGAGTAACTACGATTCTTAAAAGTTAGTTTCATCATCAAATGCTTTTCTCGTTAAACGCGTTTTCAGATCTTCTGCTAACAGTCGGTTTAACATTACAGCCAGGCTTTCTGTGAAAAACAAAGGGTCTTTGAAAGAAAAATATATCAATATTCATAGATTTAAAATTTACCTGAGGACCCCTGCGACAACAATTCTGATCCGGATAAGGGCAATATCCATAGCCGTCGATCGCACATGAAGCACTGATGCAAAAGTCTTCGGGATTTTGTTGTCCGCAGGGCGGCAGTTGACGACTTTCCAATACTGCGTCATCGAATTCACCTGTTGAAACACCAATATGGGTGAAATTCCTAAGTATAAACTTGTATGCTGCACATCTCTTCGAGTACTTTTCTTTTAATTTGCTTCGCTCGTGTAATTTTTAAATCTGTCCCTCTCCTTTCTCAATAGCTGACTTGGGAGCAAAGATCAAGTAATTTTCGGCCAAGTTGATAAGGATTATATTAAATGTAATAATACATAAAATATATTCTGCTCGTACATTCTCGGTATTGGACTGGAACTAGCTTGCAACTGTGGCTAATGCAGGAGTCTTTTCAAATACAAATGATATTTATCTCTTTTTAATAATATTTCCCGCATGAGCCTCCATTGCATGCTAGTTCCAGTCCACTGACCGAGAATGCGAATATGTTCTATTCCACAGGACCAAAACCATGTGCGTACATCCGGGTTACAAAGGCATTCGCCTAGCTTTTACTTCACATAAAGTCCACGTAATGTCAAATCCGATTAAAGATAAAGTGAACTACAGATCTAGAGGGGGAAACATTGGCTTTGGGGCGCTTATTACAAAGGGGCGCTTATTTGTAAAAACGGCCCTCAATGGAGAGCTCGAGCGCACTGAAAGGAGCGCTTATTGGAAGGAGGGCGCTAACTCAAATCATTGTGGTAGTTATTCTACTTTTCTTAGTTAGCCAAATCGAAATGTCAATTGTATTCCCCTAGAAAGACATTCAAGTAATTGAGACACAAAGATTTCACGTCCGCTGGCCAGTCAAATGCTCAAACATTGAGCTACATAACATTGACTAGAAATAACTATGATATATAACTAGGCCTAGAACTGAAAAGTGTGCCTCTTACTGTTGATTGATTGACATATATTTCTTTGACAGTTCCATTTTTTTCAGAGAACTCAGCGCTGCATCAAATCATGACCTAAGCTAACTCAATGTCGGCAAGCTCGGAAATGAACTAAGAGGGCATATAACTCTTGTGTGTTTTTGTAAACAATTCTTAGTGAGAAAGGATGAGTAATTTGATCGGGAGACTCTACAATTTTACAATCAGTTC